GCAGAGACTGAAATAGTATCAACCTTTTCTCTTTTTTTTTTTGTCTATTTTTTCTCTAAAAAAAAGATTTTGGGCTTTGAAAAGAAAAAAAAAATTAATTAAAATTAAAAAATAAATTGGGCTAATTGGCTTTTAAGCTTTTATTGGGTCTTCAAACCTAAGTGATCAAATCTTGACCTAAAATTGAACTAAATTGGATCTTGGCCATGTGGAATGATTCAAACAACAATTAGTCCTAAATAACCTCAAGTGGGCTCCATTTAATTAAAATGTGCAAATAAGCTTGAATCAGAACATAAAAATCAAACACACTCAAATCGACCAGGATAAAATTAAGTGTTTATAAGAACTTTTTAGGCTTATATCAAGTACTTAATTATGATATCATCTTTCGTTTTAATGAAGGAAATATGCCACTAACTAAGCAAGTTAGGTAGGAACTTAACAAAGCACTAATAACCCAAAACCCAAAATGTCCATCTTGGTTAACCGCTAAGCCATCTTATGTTAGAAACAACAAGTACAAATCAACTTAAGCTTACAGATGAACAATACGATAAAAAAATTAGAGACGGCAAAGAAAATAAATGATCATGTTACTACCATCTCAACAATAAATCCCATACTAAGTCATAGGAATTGATGCAGTAGGTTGTTGATAAGGGTTAATGTTGTGGCAGCAATTGGTTCATCATAACTTGGTTAAGGAAACGTATATTTAAAATGATAACAATACATTAGCTCCAAACTAAAAAAAAAAAAAAATTCAAACTTGAAAGTTGAATGAGAAGAAAAATAATAAATTTATATGAACTTTAGTGAATGTTACACTACAAATTACTTCCCTAAGCTATTAAGTAGGTCCAATAAAGAGGTCAAATAATTAATCTGATAAGAAATTAATCAACTCAAAAAATTTATGTAAGAAAAATATGTGTTACTAATGCTTCTACCGAATTTAATAACATTTCATAAAGTTACACTTATCTAAATTGTCATTGTTAAAAAATATTTGTAAGAAAAATACTACACTGAACAAATTGTGTTTCACCCTTAAGTTGTACCCCTTTCATTCTTGTAATAATAACTTCAATAGATTAGTACGTGTCCTGCGAATTAAGCCAAGCAGAACGTTATGCTATGCCTTACTTGAAGAGTGTTTTTTTCCCATTATTCTTGATATAATATTAATGCATTAGAGTTGAAACAAGGAACAAGAAAAAATTTAAAAAAAAATTGAGCCAAACTTTATTAACCAAATTTGAATAGGTATTCAATGAAAGTAATAGTTAAAATAAATAAAAGTTACAGATATCATAAAGCATGTCATATGGAATTAGGAGTGGGTTGATTTGATAGAATGATCAGCTACAATGCAAAGCTAATGACATGATGTATATTGATTCCATGAATGAGGATGGATGTCTTGACCTTGTCATTAGTCGTAAGAATAATTGATTCTCTTTGGGGGAACATCATGTTTTTACAAAAATTATAAATGTTTACAAATCTGTTTAAGAACTTTGAGTCGGGTCGGGAGATTGACGCATACTATGGTTAATTTAATGGTTTTAAAATAGTTATGGTAACCCAAAACAAAAATGCCTTAACATTAAAATAAACTAATGGTTCAACAACAGTTATAGCATTTAGTTTGATATCGATTGATCATTGATGTCAACTAATGAAAATATTCAAATCTAGTATAAATTGGCATATTATTTTTTTCTCCTCTTCATTATTCAATATATAAACTAACACACAATTTTATTATAATCCAAGCGTGAGCGGCTGCCTGGTTAAAGATGGTTTTTTTTTTTTTTTCTCTCAATTGAAGCTTAATTAAGCCCCAATGATTGCCATTTGGGAGCCAAATAAGCTATCATAAGTTTTTTTTTTTTCCCTTATTCATCTTACGGAGGGAGAACGGAATGAAAAAAAGTAATGGGCTGTCATTATTAGATAATGGGAGTGCACTAATCCCATTAAGGTTACCAAGGGTTGAAAGCCAATGAAGCCCAAATGATTTTTAAGAAAGAAAAAAAGAAGGTAAAAAACATTTAAAAATAAAAAAAAAAGGGATAATTAGAGTGTTCTTTTGAGGACATATGAATAATTCTATATATGAGTTAATAGACAGATTTTCTCGACCACTTGTAGAAGAGTGATAATTATATTTGATATTAGTTTAAGCATCAATAAAGTTAATGAATTTGTTAATATTTATTATTTGTTCATACTGAATAAAATTGTGGTCAGAGCAAAGCTGGGGTTCATTTTTCTAGTATTAAAAGTTACAAACGCCTTTTGGCTCAATTTTGATGAAGCAATTAATTTTTTATTTTAACTTTTTGAAATATAAATTTTTAAAATTATAATTCTTCATAAATAGTCATATTGTGATTGTCGTCTTTTTAAAAACAATTTCTTACAATTAGATACGACTACGTTTTATTCAAATTAGATAACATTTTTCAATGTTATTTATAAAAGAGGTTTTTTTTTTTTAATTTTTTTTATTTTACCATTTTCGTTTTTTTCCCTGCAATGTTAAAAAGGTTTGTTTGTTTTAAGAAAACTTACTCATTATAAAATCTAAAAGAAAATGATATGATGCCTCAAAGGCCAGCTCTGTTTGTTTTAAGCAAAACTTAACTCATTTTCTGTTTTCATTTTTATGAAAATTAGAAGATAGCAAAGAAAACGGTGTTTGGTACATGTTTAAAGAAACTGATAGAGAATGAAAAGGAAAACTTAACCAATATTGATAACACAGAAGTTGCTCTTCCGTTTACGAATCCCACTCTCCTCCAGAGTTCGAATACTTCAAAAAACAATTGTATAAAGATAAGCATTGCAAAATCATAAGTCCATGTTATTTTACCATGAACACTGTTTTTCATAATTGATTAACTATTTAATGATCATAATAATGGGATCCATATGTATTACTGTCAGAAATTAAAAAAAAAAAAAATTCAATATGCCACACATTTTCATTGTTTTCATTTTTAAAAAAATAATCTTTCATCTTCCTTAATCAAATGCGTTTTTAATGGAATTGAAAATAAAAATAAAAATTAGAAATTAAAAAATAAGAAATAAAAAATGTTTTTAAAAATCAAACACTACCTAAATTTTTTTATTCTCTAATATTTTTCTAGCACAAAATGACTTAGAATTCCATTGCTTCTTGTTGTTCTGACATGGTCTATTTTTTGAAAACTATCAAATTTATCAGTGTACTAGTCTACTAGATTGAGAATTTTATATTTATCATTTTATTTTTTATACAAATTTATCATTTTACTATATTTTTTATGTAAGTTTGTCACTTATGAATGAAAATAGCATAATTATGTTATGTTGCTGATATAAATAATTATCTTTTATCTAGTTTTGTAGTTAAAAACTTAGTTAAATAATTCCAATATCATATTCGAAGAAATTTTCTATTATATAGTTGTAATTTTTTTTTTCATTTTCCCTTGATTATCATTTACAATTATTAAGCAAACAAAATGAGAGAAAATTTGAATTTGACATTTGAGGATAAAAAGGAACAATAGAATCTTTATACTATAAGGTTACTTAGGTTAACTTTTTGTTTTATATGTTATATATTTTTAACAATTTTTTTACTATATACCAAAATTCTATTATAATTATTTTTAGAAAAAATTAATAAAAAATATATAGTAAAAAAATTTGTGGAAGTGTTGGAATTTTTTTAAAAAGAATCTAATCATTTTTATTTTTTAATTAATTAATGGTATTATTTTATTTTTATTTGAAATTAAATATTTTTATCTTTTATAAAATAAAAATTAAAAAAATAATTAGAATTTTTAATAGAATATTTTTTAATTTAGAGGAAATATTTTATTTCCATCTATAGATAATTAGAATTGCATAAAAATTGAAGACTCTGTTTGTTTCGCAAAAAATAACTTTCAAAAAATGATTTTTGTATTTTTAGGTATTTATTTGACAAAAATTGATTAGTTAATGAAAAATAACTTACTGATTAATGAAAAATAATGTTATTTTTTTGAAAATTATTTTACGAATTTAAAAAGGGAAGACATTTTCTAGAAAAGAGTAATGAGTAGAACTATTTATCAATACTTTTGAGCATAATTTTACTTAAAAATAATAATATATTAATAAATAATAATATATTATAATATATTAATAAATAATATACTATTAATAAAATTTATTAATAACCATTATTAATAAATAATATATTAATATACTAATAAATAATAGAAAGAATAATAAATAGTTTTATTTTAAGTATTTTAACATAATATTTTAATATTAAATATATTATTAAAATATAATTATTTTTTAATATTAATAATTTTAATAATAAATAATCTCAATATATTTTAATAATAAATTATTTTTAATATTTTAGTAGTTATATTAATATTATTTGAAAAGAAAAATAAAATTTTCAAAAAATAACTAAATAACAAAAAATATTTTTTATTAATTCATTCAAATAACAAAAAATCTTTTTAATTTAAAAAATATAAATATTTTTTAAAAATTATTTTTTATGAAACAAACAGAGCCGTAATAGAATGATAAATTTGTATAAGAAAGTAAAATAGTAAATATGAAGCCTCTAATATGATGCTGTGATAAATTTGATCATTTTCTCTAATCTTTTAATTAATGAATAAAGTTTCATTGTTTGCGGAAAAAACAATATTATAATTGCAACCCAGCTGGAGCTAACAATATCCAGGATAGTTGAAGCTAAAATATATGAAATACACTGGTAGAGTTTTGATCTTATGGATCTGATTTAGCAAAAGTTATCATAATTGAAGCAGCTACAAAATCTTAACTTATAATACAAATATTTATTAAATATTTTAATTAATAAATAAGATTTTTATTAAAAAATATGATTTTATTATAAATTTTATAAGTCAAGGAAAAATTTCGAGATAAATCTCACAAAATTAAATTCATGGAAATAAAACTCGCCTGACGACGTTATAGTGTTTATTTCTATTTGTTATCGATGGTACTCGATTGTTTTTATCCACCAAATTGCTACATGAAGTTCAAATCAAGGACTAGGATTAAAAAAAAAAAAAATGAAAAGTAGTTTGATTGATATTTATGGGGCATTTTTAACCCAAATGAATACAAAAATGAATAAAGAAATGTAATATATATATATATATATATTTTTATGAATATATCACTGGTGGAAATGCATGACCTTCGGTGCAAATTCCAACAACCTGTACAGAGCATCGGGCGAGAACTTTCTAGCAAACAGGTGGCATAAATTTGTGGTATTCCCATTGTATTGACAGTGGCTTCTGCTTCTCAATCTTTCCAAAAATGCAATTGTCACATCTGTGCTTGAGAACTTAGCTGGGTGAGGCCCACCTTTGGACCAATCAACCCAAGTCAAAGTTCTATTGGAATTCTTCTCCCCAAACTTGATGGTCACAAATGTTGGCAAATAATGTTCATCAGCATAGCAAGCGCCCTTGCAATACTTGTGGAACACTGGAAAATATATTTGGTCTGAGACAACTTCCATGGCAAGCTCTCGGTCCATCTCGAACCATTGTGCTCCTTTTCTCCATTGATCAAGTGTGACTTGGGGGCTCATTCTCCGGCTGTACCGACCACGCCCAACGGAGCTAGCTAAATCATACGACTCCACGAAACTCTGGGTAGCGTTGATGAGGTAAGAGTATACAGTGGAGAAGTTAAACAGTGGAATGCATGATTCCGAGAGAAGAACAAATCTTTGGTTTGAGAAATCCAACAGTGCATTGGCTAGAAGGCGGCGCTCCGCTTCAATCATATTCACTTTTCCCCATTCAACTTCCTGCATCATCAGCAGGAAATATTATTAGCCATTAATGCGTGGTCCGTTTCTCTTTTCGTTCTCACTAATATTGGCAGCTTGACGAAAATATGGCAAATGGGTGGTCCGTTTCTTTTTTCCAACCCATTCTTTGCTTTGAATTTTTAGTTTTCGTTTTTATTTTATCTCTTTTCATTCTATTTAGACTAAAATAACATGTCCTTTTTTCTTTTTTTTTTTTTTGCATTTTGTTTTGCAAAAATGTCAAACAAATAAAATTACTGAAGAATAAAAAAGTCCACATTTATTGAATATCCATCCCTACAGCTATTTATTTTTTAATTTAATGGTAATAGAATTTTTTAATTTTTAATTTCAAAATAATAAATAAATAAGAGAGCAAGCTGTTCTTATTTGAAACGCATGCAACTCCTCGTTTTGAGTACTTCATTTTTTTTTTTTTAAATATACAATGATAAAAACCTGGTGGCTTTCCAGGCATGGGAATATTCCTAAGAGTTCTTTGCCGTCCGAAGGAAGTTTAGTATTTGTTTCGTTGGCCTAAAAGTGTATTTTTGTATTTGTTTGTTTATGATATATATAAATTTATATTTAATATATTATCAGTTTATACACTATATTATTTATAAACTCTATATGTAATATGGTGAAAATTAGTTATCAGTCTCCCAAGCCTTGTTTGAGCCAGATGTCTCTTTCAAAAATCTTTATTATTATTGGTTTTTTTTCTTATGCACTGTTAATATATCTATTAATATATAAATTTTATATATTATCAATGAATATAATTTTATTAATAAATATTTTTTTAAAAATATTTATTTTAAAAATTATTATTTATTTATGAATAAAATGACATCATTTTATTCATTAACGTTATGAAAAATTTATACAAAAATATATTTTTCATCAAATATAAATTTATTATTATTATTATTATATTAATGATGAATAAAGTGATGTTTATTAAAAAGCATTGAATTTCCATATTTGCAAGAATATTGTTCATTAAAGTGTGTTTTAATGGAAGGATCCCTTATCAAATCCAGCAAGTAGGAAGCATAGCAAACATGTATACAGTATTGACACGGAAAATTAAAAGCTAACCTTGCTGGGAATTCTTCTGCCATAGAAAACTGAACCTTTAGGCTCTGACAGATTGAAAGATGGATTGGAGTGCACGTAGATTGAATACATCCCTTCAGACCCTTTGAAGAATTTCTCCCACAGTGGAGCCAATAAAACAGGCCCCTTTGTCAAGAACAAGAAGGCAACTTTAGGAACCCGGTCGAATGGATACTGGGGAATTCGGGGAGCCATTGAAGCCCTCCACAAAAGCTCTTTATCATCCATGTCATGCATTACTGGCGGTGGCTTGAGAAATTCTGTTAATCCTAAGTGACCGGCATGAGATGTTTCAGCTGCCGGATTAAATGATTGAGGAGGCGGCGGCGGCGGCGGCGCCAATGGTGGTGCTGATCTTGTAGTCAGAGCTAATTGTGTGATACGTAGATCAAGTGAAAAGTTATTGAGATGAGAACTGAGTAGGACTCCAAGACTTAGGCCACAGCAAAAGAGGAGGAAATAAGAGAGGACACTGAAGAAGTGCAATTGTCCATTAAGGAGGTTGGAAAATGGATTGCTGTTTTCACCCTTCATTTTTTGGGAAAACAGGAGTTAATTTGAGAGATCTTCAGACACCTTTTTAAATTTCCAGAAACTCTGTGCTCAAGAAAAGTGATTCTTCTGTCACTCCAAAAACACTTCTTTTCTTTGAGGACAAGATATGCCAATACAAGGAAGAAAACCAACCCAAAAAAAAAAAAAAAAAACTTTGGAGAAATCAAAATTTGCACAAAACAAAAGTATTGTATCAGAGCTGTCAACGAAAACTATTTTGAAGATCAAAAAGCCAGCTATCAAAAACTGTCGTAATAAAACAAAACAACAACTGGTAATTCCTATAAAAGAGATAAAACAAATTTGAAATACAAATCATTAATCATCGATCAAGTTAATGTGGAAAATGAATGTGTGGCTGGCAAACTGCAATAGAAAGAAAAAAAATATTGGGTAGCTGGTAAGCTCAACGGAGAAAGAGAGGAAGGGAAAGAGGCAGATGAATTGAGAAAGGTCTGAGTCAGCCGGTTTGAATTTATGTCTGAATGGCGAGGCTGCTAGCCAGTTGCTGCCTTTCTAGACCACAGGAAAAAGCGATAGGAAACCACCATATTCAATGACCCTCCCAATTATATTATACAAGTCAAAACTGCCATTATACAATAACAACTTTTATTAGTAACTAATTAATGATTAAAATAATAAATTTCTAATACGTCGATCTTTTAATGGAAACAGTGAAGAAACAATTTCTACGTGCCAGAACATGCACTTCAATCATGTGGGTAGGTACTAGAAAAGCCCCGTTATTTTGAGCTTGGACTTTGACCAAGGATGCTTGGAAAAGGAAAGAAACAATAGCCGCCAATCACAATGTTTTCCAAGCGACGGAGGTGATTTGCGTGTTGGGCTTGTTCAATCCAAGACAAATGACAGACCCTACGCGGACGAGAAAATCTGTCAATAAAAACACGATAAAATCGTACGGCGAAAAATAAAAACGAAAATAACATATATTAAAATTTTAATAAAATATATTCTTTCTTTTTCGAATTCCTCTTTTCGGAGAAGCCGGAAAGACGCGATCACGTGTCACGTTCAGGATGTCTGAACCTGTGATGTTAGGAATTGGTCTTATGTGTAATAGGTTCTTGGAAGATTTTTGGGAATTTTCTTCTACTAATAATTCGGACCAATCAAATACTTCCATCAATCACTCTCTAATTAACGCCAAAGAATATTCATTTTCAACCGTTCATCTAAACGACAACTATAGTCATTTGATCAGGCCTGACTTTTAGGAGAATAACAGATTAATGTAGGAAAATAGAGAAGATCATGATGTTACTTGTTAGACAATTCATTGTGTTAATTTACTTGATTAATTAACTCTTGCGAAAGCACTATGAAGTCACACCTTCACATATACGGTAAAGTGCGCTTTTAGTTTCAAACTTTTTATTTAAGTTTCATTTTTATTTTTAAACCTTAAATTATTTCATGATAATTCTAAAACTTTTAAAATGATGTCAATATCATTTTCTAATCAAATTTTATATAAAAGTAAGAGAGAATTAAAATTTAAAGGAATGGATCTAGAGTTATTACTCTTTGTTATTGTATTAAAATATATTTATTAAAAAATAAATAAAATTTTAAAATTGATTAAATTATGATAATGGTTCCTATACCGTAACAAAAATTAAAATTAGTTCATCTACTATAATTTATAAAAATATAATTTTCGTACTATTTTTATTTAATTAATCTAATAACTAATCACATCAAAATTTTGCAATTAAAAGGCTAATGTGATTGTTGACTTAATGACGTGATATTGATTTTGTTAACGTGACAACATAAATAAATGAAATCAATTATGAAATTATACAAATGATCTTTATATTCGTATGAAACTTGAACTTTAGTCCCTAATAATAATTCATAAAGATTTCATCCTCGTATAAGTTAAATTTGGTAATGTTCATCTAATTACTTACAATAAATTATTTTCCAATAATTTTATTGATGTGATCGTTATCTTTTTAAAAAATATATCTAGAAATTAAAAAAATTAAAAAAAAATCTTTTTTAAGCTTTTCTTAATTTTTTAAAAACATTAAACTTAACTTTTTCCAAATAATGTAATTTTTTAAAAAAATCACATTTCTTGATTTTTTTTTTAAGATTTGGATTTCAATTTTTGTAAAAAATCAAAATTATGAATTACTTTGAATTTTTATTTTAAAAATATTAATTTCATTCTTCTCAAGTTTTAACAAATAATATTTCTTAAATTATTATGAAAATCATATTTCTTTTTTTAAAATAATTTTCAATTTTTATAATTTTTAAATATTTAGCATTATTTACTTTTTCAAAAAATTTTCATAAAATTATATTTTTTAAAGAAAATTTTAAATGTTTTTAAATTTTTAGGAAATTTTTAGATTAAAATATTAAATTTAATATTTTCAAATTAAAATATTGGAAAAATAATTTTAATATTTAAAAAATTGATAATTTCTAAAAATTGAAAACTATTTTAAAAAATTGAAATATGATTTTTTAAAAAAATAAAAGATATATTGTTTTTAAAAAAATTAAAATATTGGAAAAAAATTAAATTTAATAATTTTTAAAATGACAAAAAATTCTAAAATTTCATGAATTTGAATTTTTTTAAAAAAATTAAAATCTTGGAAAACAATTAAATTTAATATTTTTAAAAGTGACAAAAAATTATAAAATTTCATAAATTTGAATTTTTTAAATTAAAAACTTCTTTACCTAAAAAATTCAAGAAATATTATTTTTTAAACTATTAAAATATGGGCAAAAAATTTTTAATTTGTTTTAAAAAATCCAAAAAAGAGTAAATAAATCATATTTTTATACTTTTTTATCATTTTAAAATTGTCAAATATTTTATTTTGAATTTTTTAAAACTTTTTAATTTTTCAAATATATATTTTTTGAAAGATAACAGTTACGTCAATAAAATTAACCGAAAGTAATTGATCGCATTAATAATTAAATCAATATTATGAAATTCAATTTGTAATAGGACGAGATTTTTATAAATTATAATAGAAGAATTAAAATTAAATTTTTGTATGATTACAAGTACCATTTATACAATTTGACAATTAATTTCATTCATTTATTTTGCTATGTTAGCAAAGTTAACTCCATATTAGTAAAGTCAATGTCATATAAGTAAGGTCAATACTTATGTCATTAAGTCGACAACCACGCAAAACATTTTTAAATGAAAATTTGATGTGGTTAATGATTGGATTAAGATTATTAAATCAAAATATTATAAGAACTAGTAGATGAATTAAATTTCAAATTTCATTGAAGTGTGAGGACCATTATCACAATTTTAACTTTAAAATTTTTACGAAAGAACTTGAACTATCATTTTTACCCTTGGTTTTTAAAATTCAACTTAAATTTAGGGACAAATGATATTTTGGTTTCCTTCTTAATAATTTAAATTTTTTTCTTTTTAATAAATACATTTTACTATGATAGCAAAAAATAATAATTTTGACTTTATCGTGATTTTATTTCTTTTTTTTATTCTTATTTTATCAAATTTTATTTCCCTTATATTTATAAATTTTTATCAAAGAATATAAAATTAAATCACATTACAAATAAAGATAGAATTTTTTTAAAAAAATAAAGAAATGTAACATACTCAAATAATGTTTTAACACTTAAATGAAGTAAATAATAATTAATAATTTTATAAAGTTTTTTTTTTGTAAATTATTACTACTATAATTTGAAACTCTCTCAAATTATGTCAACCTAATACAACAAACTTATTTACTACTATAATCTCCTGAGAAAATATTTTATTAGAAGTAATTCATTCAAGATCACTTAGTAAATGAGCATAATTCAATTATTGTTTAAATTTAAAATTATAGTTATAATGTAAACTTTATTAATTAAGTCATTTAGTATGTACAAGCTTTTTATATTTTTTTGAGAAAATAAATGTCAACTAATCCAGATTTGAAATTATTTGAGTATGTTTTATTTTTTTTGTTAAAAATAATTTCTAATTTTTTTAATAGATTTAATTTTTTTATTAAAATTTGTAAATATTAGGGAATACAATTTAATAAAACAAAATAAAAAAGAAATAGAATCAAGGTAATGGATAAGAACTATTATTCTTTAGTATCATAATAAAATGTATTTATTAAAAAAATAAAAAATTTTTATAACTATTACGAAGGAAAATAAGATACCATTTTTATGACTTTAAGTTGAATTTTTAAAATCAAGGAAAAAATGATAATTTCTTTTCCTTCTAAAAGATTTATAAATTTTATTTTTTTAGTAATAAAGACATTTTAAATTATTTTGGTATGTTTTATTTCTTTCTTTTTTGTTAAAAATAATTTCTAACTTTATTTTTAATAGGATTTAATTTTATATTTTTATTAAAATTTGTAAATATTGAAACAAATAAAATTTAATTAAGTAGAGTAAAGAAATGAAATAAAATCAGGATAATTGACCCATAATTATTACTTTTTCTATCATATTAAAATGTACTTAATATAAAAAAATAAAATTTTTTATAACTATTACAAAAGAAACTAAAATATCATTTTACCCTTGATTTTAAGTTAAATTTTTAAAATCAAGAAAAAAAAGTATACTTTCATTTCCTTCTAAAAAATCATATAAGTTTTATTTCCTTTCAAATAAATATATTTTGGTATGATTATAAAGAATAATAATTCTAAATCCATTATCTTGATTTGAAATTTTCTTTTATTTTAATGAAGAGAGACCATATTGACACCATTTAAAAAAGGTTTGATACTACCATGAAATAATTTAAAGATTAAGTTTCAAAATGAAAATCAAATGAAAGACTTGGGACTACAAGTATATCTTTACCTTCACATATGAGCATTATCCAACAATGGGTTTCAGTTATGATCAGTGTTTTAATTAACTAAGCATAAAAGAAAAGTGACTTTGAACTTCTCATGTTCACGATGAACCTTGTCAGTTAGGAGTTGTAATTCCAAAACATTCTTAAACAAAAAGGATCTAGATCAAGTAATAAAATGAGTGTGTTTCTTTTTTTACTTGGATTTGAATTAGTTGAGAGGGTGTGAAAAAATAATTTTACATGAATTTATTAAACCTAACATGACTCAATAAAAAGATATATTGAGCAAACCCCAAGAACCCTTTCTTGTTAAATAAAAAAAAATGAATTTAATAAAATATTTAAAGGTAAGTTTCATTGAGACTCATGAGTTTTAAGCAATTTAATACAAGTCCATTAGTTTAAAAAATGAATGCTTTGTCCCAAAATTTTCAACTAATAGGACAAAAAGGTCCTACGGTAGGTAATTCATTAATATTTTGTTAATAGCTTATTTAAAGGCCATTTTACTATTAAAAAATTAATATTCTCAAATACTTACGTGAAGTGATAATTTTCAAAATAATTTTTTTTTCAAATGTATCATAAATAATAGAAAAAAGATTTTTTAGATGCATAATACAAAAACAAAACTTATAACTATAAGTATATACTAATATCTAAATATATATATATGTATAATAAAATGAAT